ACTAGTCGATCTAAAATCTGAGCAATGTGCGTCTCATGAACCAAATGAAAAAAATCCCATCTGAAGATAGTGCTTGATGAATACTTAGAAGAAAACCAATGTATTCAATAAAATAAAAAACAACAAACATTTATGACATCCATTTACAGTAATCCAGTCGAAGAGATTTCACAGGGCTGCTTTATGACTGATAGGGACAGTAAAGCAGACTCAGTGATTTTGTTATCTCTCTACACAAGAAAYTGCAATGCAAACGCCTACAAATTAAACAAACCAAGAACTGTGCAAGACTAATTAACTATGGTTGCTCAGTTCCTTTAWACTTTCAGTATTTACTTCAAAGTATAAATAACTTTGTCCCCTCCAGCTCATACCTAAGCTGAAATAAGTTTAGTTTATGTCTTTACCATTTACACAGAGCTGTCATTTCAACGGAGGCGCTTCTCTTATCAAAGTCAAGTCTGTTCACGACAAACCAGTGAGGAARCAGAATTAACTGGAACTGTCCTGCTCAAGTATTGAACTAAGTGAAATAACGTGTGATAACAGTCAGGTTACCATAAAACAACACAGCTTATTTTCCTCCTTTGCTTCTATGACAACATTAAGCTACAGGAGATATTACCTTGCACCACCTTCTAAGTGGTTAACGTAGCAAACAGAAATTCAATTCCAGAAATTAGAGCTAAAAAAGAATTAAACATGCTTACGCTTTTTTGATGTCCTCTTGTGTTGCATTTTTGCGGACTCCTAATATCTGGTAGTATTCCACCATGGCTCTGTGTGTGACTGAAGACTGGTTTGTTTAAGGGTCTTTCTGCCTGGCCTCTGTGGGGGGTGGGGGAGAGAAGTACAATTTTGTTAGAACATGTTAACGACATAAAGCTCACCAAACTGCAACTGAGCACAATCACGTGTGACCATTATCACACCTCCTTTTCAGGGGGGCATTTTGGGATATTGGGGAGCAGAAAATCCCAACGTTTTTGCTCTGTACCGAAATAATGACGATGGAAAGAGGACAGCTAGATACAAGCCCAGAAAAGTTACACAATAACTGATTATTCTTCAGCCTGAGGCTGTGAGCAAATGGGAACAATGTTTCCTTATTTTTTTTAATTAAATAAAAAGGACCATGAATGGCGTTCTAAAACATGTGGTAATGATGGCGTTATGAAACTTCAAAAATAAAAAAACAACAACAAGACAAAACAAGTTTGATGCACAAACTAACAGAAGTTATTACAGCCGTCTTAATTTGACCACATTTAGACTTTAGGACAGCAAAAATACACACAGTCAAGTTACATCTGCTGCTTTCTAATAGTAAATCATTACAATATCAGTTTTGTTTTTTTATTATTCGACTTTGTGTGGTTATTTATGTGAAAGGACTGATGTAAAACAGAAGCAATAAGGGGACAAAAAATGTTATCGTAAAATTAAAAGCACAAATATATCCCACCAATCCACATTTTCTACTTTTACTTTACTATACATACATAAATAG